AATGGTGAAGTTATGCAAAATTAAGTTAGGAAAGCGACTTTTGAGAAACACTGTACATTTCGAAAAGCAAATCTCAACTCCATTGCGTTCTTCATATTTGTATGGAAAGTTTTTGTTCTGATACATCGAATATTTTAAGGGTGAGAGTGAGTTTGATTAATGAAGAGACACAAATGAAAAAAGGCATCAAACAGCTACTACGACGCGTTTCGACCTTGCTGAAGGGTCTCATCAGGTAGTTTATGTTCTTCTTTACTCTTCTCACATTCGTGATCTTCGTATCAGTCTTGATAGAACGTAGAACTAGCAGGATTAAATAAGTGACAGTGATCTTCTGTTCACAAAGGCTCCGTACTGATATATCTATCTGCCAATACGAATTCAGCAGACGAAACCGTGAAGGTACTGGCAGAAATGAAAATATTTTCTTCTAACTCGCTCGCATGCAGTGTCCTATTATCTAATCCTTTATATAGATTCAATCCGTATACGTGGCTTGATGAACGTGTACATGTTGCATATATATAAAGTTTCCATATATACATGGCGGTACGGCTGATATATTAATTCAAAGAAGTTTATGGTCCTTCTTTCGGACAAGAATAAAGTGATTAATAACTATTTATTATATATTATTTATTGTATTATTTATCTAATCGACATTTTCTCGTGTGACCTTCAAATACTTCAACTAAATTAGCAGACTCTTTCTCCCCACAACTCTTATGCCTAAGTTGTTTAGCACTAGCTTGTTCATTCTTCAATTCAAAACATTCTTGTTGTCATCATCAGAGCGAGAGAGAAGATTAGAGGAATATTCATCTTCTTTTTAGATCCAGTTGGAAACAGAATACGTTCTATGTCTTGTGATTTATCTATTATTATCACCTGAAACCTGCACGGATATTTAATAATTTGCTTAATTATCTATATGTTCTACTTCTATTTGTTTAACGTATGTTTGGTTCGTTATCTATATGTACATCGACGAAAATATCTTTTTAAGATCTGAACTAGAAGAACTGCTTGAATGTTAATTTAGAATATACTCAACAATATAAATTGTCACGTCTGTATTAAAAGTATTTTTAATGCACATATAAACTTGCCCAAAAAAGAAGCATTTGTGACATTCTAAAACGAATAATAATTGAAACATTCGTTGCGATCAGTAGGTACTTCAACATTACAAAATCTACTAGGATAGAACAGACTTAGACAAGATTTTAAATATTAGATTCAACTAATAATCAAAACAGATAATCCGTTGTTGTTGTGCATGTGTACATTCTAAATAGATGAGATATGATAACTCAGGTTTCGGGATATCCTGCCTTCATAAATCACACATTTATGAAACTTTTTACAAGTTTCATAAAAAGTTTAATATGGCTCTCAGAGAAAAATTTTCTTAATTAATAACACATGTCTCCGAGAGACCTATGGTTGTTAATTAAATTGGTTTAATGATGAATTAAGGTAACTGCATATGTCTCTAAGAGGGTTGTTACAGTAGTATATTAGTATAGGTCTCATAGTAACAAATGTTGAACAGTAGGAATGATGATCATAATTTTCTTATTTCTAAGTAAAAGGTAGAATATGTCTCTGAGAGGGTGATTCTTAGTCCTTTTAAAATAAAACATAGTTTAGGGGTTTTTATTCAATTGATTTAGTTAGAAAATATCACTGAGCGACATAACTCACAAAGCTACACATATCTCTCCCGTTCAGATATGAGGATATATCTGATACAAACTCACTACTCTTCTTAATAGACAAACTCCCCAATTTAAGAAAGTAGGCACACAGCGACAATCACACTTTAAACTAATAACTATACTAACGTTTATTACTGTTCAACAAAAAATATTTTTTACATTTATAAAACATGTTTTTCTAATACAAGCTTGAATTTACCTCCTACACTTTCACAATAAAGACACAACTTTTTATTCGTTTAAAAGAGATTGGACATGTCTCTCAGAGGCGCTCTTGGAGAGTTATACATAGCCCTGTTGAAATAAAAGTACCGATTTTTGTACGAGTAAGCATATGTCTCTGAGAGACTCACATCTCACTTAGAGACTTGTATATACAGTTTTAGAATAAAATTCCATATTTTTATTTGAATCAGTCTATGTCTCTATAAATAACTCATACCTATCTTGGTGAGATATTAGCACCTTTATTTGGTTGAGTCACTGTATCTCGACAAGTCTCACATAGCACCTAGAGACGCATTGATACTGTTTTTAATTAAATAAATCATTATCTTCAATTAAAACAACACAAACACACGTCTCTACGCGACATATACCAGTTACATAATGTTATATGTCTCTATGTGACATATTAATACTACAAGTAATTAAGGAACTAATTAATTAAACCTGAAACAACAGAAATCACACGTTCATAAAATTTAGGAAACTTAGTTGTTGAACGTTTTAATACAGAAGTTACATAAAAATGAAAAATTTTATGAAACTTTTACAAGTTTCATAAATGTGTGATTTATGAAACTGGATTTATGAAGACAGGATAATCCAATTTTTCAATAGTTTTTTCACCTCGACAACGCGAAAAATCCTACAAGTTTAAAAAATCTTTAGGATCTCGGCTCTGGATTGTTTTGAAGCCTTTGTGTTAATGGTAGAATCCGTCATTTCGACGTCATTAGGTTTCCTCAAAAAAAATTTATTTTGTTACTGACAAACTTCATGTTTTCCAAATCAGAGGTGAAAAAGTCGGCCATCTGTTACAGTAAAATGTTTCGCTTAATTTATTGTACATCGTTGGAACGAGTTCATCGAGTTGATTAAGAAAATGTATTTTTTAATTTTTCAAAGTATATTTTTCATGTCGAAAACTTAAAAATACTTGAAGGATATAAAAACCCTTCAAGTTCAAAGAATCTTTAATATCTCGACTTTAGATTGTTTTGAAGTCTTTGCGGTAATGGTTGAAGCCGTCATTTGCACGTCATCAGGTTTACTGAAAGCTCAGCTTTAAAAGTACGCTTCGCTTTTTAAAATTTGCTACTGGCAAAGTTCATGTTTTCTAAATAAGAAGCGAAAAGTCGGGCATCTGCCCGTAATTCTCAATTTTCTCTATTAGAACTTAACGTTTATGGAACAAAAATATCATGTTCGAAATCACGATCACAAACTGAGTCCATTAATGTACGTTTCTATCCTTTTCGAATACTTCAATTTTTTTCGAACTTTCACGTTCAAAAATTATCGACATTTTCACCTAAAACTGAAAATCAACTAAAAATTTCAAAGTACACATTAATCCCCTCAGTTTTTGTTAGTGATTTAACATGAAAAAAAAATACTTGAAAAATTAAAAAATACATTTTCTTAATCAGCTCGATAAGCTCTGTCCAACGATGTATAATAAATTAAGAAAAACATTTTGCTGTAATTTTGCATTGTGCATGCATTACCTAGAAAAATTATTCTCCTATAAACTAGCCAAACTCAGAAGAGCATATTGCTTATGAGAGATCAACCGAAAGTACTAAACACATAAAATCGAATTTGAAAGCAAACAATTTTATAACTATTTTATTTATGATAACAAGAATAAGAGAATTAACCTAGATCACCCAATGTTGTCAACGAATTTCGAATCCATTCACAATTATTTTTATGACAATCTATCCACTCGTTTGTTTCCAACAAAATTGGCCTCTTCTTAGAAATTTCTCGGTTTTGTCTAGAAAAAAGATGTAAGTATTAATGTGCAGAAGGATATGTTATTCACTTCAAACAAACTTCATTGAAATATAAACCGCTGTCTGGCATACAATCAGAAGTGGTATATAGCAAAAGAGAAATCTAAGATTTTAAATTATGCTGTTTGTGTTCCACGTTGGGAGCGGTATGTTACCGTTGCTTTACTGTGCAAAGTAACAGTTTTCCTTTACTAGTTACTAGCAATGCTAATGAAAATCCGTTACCCATTATCAGAAACGGGGAATGAAAATCTGTTACTCTACTAAAAAGTAGCGATAAAAGATTTATTTTGTTGTTTCGACAACCTCTTATCTGTTCTGTTACTTCTCTACCTGATGAAAAAGATTTTTTTTAGACATTTCATGTTTCCAGAGGAACGTACCACTCCTATTAAAAAAACACATGCTTGGACTGAAGTCCCACCTTATATGGTTAACATGAGTTCTGTGTATTAGAATGTACTGATATCACCGAACTAACAAAAGTCTGTCCTTTAGTTCAGTGTTTCTATGAGTTTCAAAGAACTAACAAATGAATTAACGAGTTATTTGAAGCAAAAAGAGCAGTTTACCCGTTACATTTCCAGAAGTAACACGAGTAACAGATTTCTGTTACCGTTAATGATAACAGATAACGAATTTTGGTACCCATCACAGTAACGATAAAGGAAAAATGCCACCTTACTCTACATATCGTCTTATTTTCCTAACAGAAGAAATTTTGGAGAAAAATATTTTTGAATTAGTGCCACTTGTCGTATATTTGTTCTGACTATATGAATTACTACAGTTTCTCATGAGTTATTATTTATGCTAATTACGAATCTGATATTCGTAACTTTCCAAGTACCCTCCTGTAAAAGCAAGCGGGTCTCTCTCAAGATTTATCCGAAGATCAAGTTGAATATTATAGAAACAAGTTTTTGCAGAGATGTAAGACCTATGAAAATGAATTTCTATTATATTAAAATAAAATCTCTGCACCGTCATGAATACTTGATTCCTCAATCTAAAACGTTTTTTACAGCGTGTAGTCTATCGGGATGTTATCATTAGAAAGTTTCAAGAAATTCGATTCTTTTCTGTGATATTCAAATGCCACAGACATTAGGTTTGTAATCAGCATAAAAAAATAGTTTATGAGAAAATGCAATTTATTACTGTGGGAGATTCTATGATATGATGTGGCTAACAAATTCTTAAGGTTACTTGTAGCATGAATAAAATTTGAAATTTCTTTGTACTCTCATATTTCTTACCTGCTTGGCAGTGTATTTATTTTCTCTCGGACACCGTTAATTTTCGGATCAGCAATCATTAGCACGTATAGTGTATGATTAGTCAACGTTAATACTACATAATCCTTGCTCGCTTTTATAGTCCCAGTCATATTTTGTACAAATAATTTTGCAATTTGTTTTCCATCATCAACACGATACATAAATAGGAGACAATGTTCAACATTTGTAACAAGAATATAACGACCATCTTCATTCAAACATAAATGATCGCATTTACATTCTAGTTTAATCTCACCTCTTAATCTGTGTGTCATATCGAATAACATTAACGAATTATTGTAATATTTACCGATTCGATTCTGACAAACAGAATACATACTAGCATTACCTAATTGCAATAGTTCACTTTTATTATCCAAATTCCATAGTCGCAGATATTTATTTTGATAATACACTAAAAGAAAATTTTGTAAACATCGAATTTCTTTAATTTGTCCGTTATTTTCCATTATATGATTTTGTGCAATTGAAATGTAGCTTAGTTTAGCCAATTTCGTATGCCATACAGCAATTGTAGAGTAATCATCCGATAAAATAGTAAACAATTCACCTTGAACAGCACTTAGCAATTGTTGACATTTGAATTTAAGTTGAAAGAGGTCAGTTAAACAAAGTTCAGCATCAAGTTTTGATACTTTTGAATTACTTTGAAGAATATAGAATGAGTTTTGAATTGAATAAACTCTAACAGGATTTATAAATACATGGTGAAATAATACATCACACTTCTTGTCACGAGCTGAATAAATATAAACATCGTGTTTAGAGTCCATCAGTAGTAAATACGGAGATATTAGTACAAAATAGACAATTGAAATCGACAGTTTCATATCCCAAACAATAGATAGTTCGTTGATAAATGACCAAGCGGTTATTTGCCTAAATAACGATCATCTATGTTTGAATGAAGATGGTAACAAGAAAAGTAACACACGTTGCAGAAAAAACTTTCATGTTTGTAGCGCAGATTATTAACGTATCGGTCAATTGATCTTTTCGTGATCCGAGACTCTTACACTATACTTCGCATTAGCAGTTTGCTACTGATTGTGAGTTCTGAGCGCACAAGAGAAAACACAATTGTGAACTGCTTACAAATGGCCGAGTTTCAATTAAAGAGCTACAACCCGATCGGATCTTGGAGTGGAGTTCGGCTCTGATTACATGTCCTCAACCTGTGCAGATCTCTAGTTTCAATGCTAAAAGAATATTGACATAGGATAATTAGCGTTTTCTTCTACGTCAAAAACGGGACAGTTAAACATTGTATATGATTCAGATCGTGTTTGATGTATTGTTCAATAAAGCTATCTTAAAAATTAAACCATTTGCTTTTCGCTCAATAGTCCTTCAGCCTAGTAGCGGAGAACTGTATATCAATTTTTTTAGATTTATGAATGAGACTTCTCCGTATATTATCAGTCGTCATTTTTTCTCAATATTCATGGTTAAGTCCATGCGATGATGCGATGGCTACTTGATGCTGTTTTCTGCTAACATAGAGTATGATCCATTTCAAAACAGAAGGGTCGCGAATGCTTTCTGGGATGTTAGTTCGAACCGCCAGACTGCGCTCTCTAAATCTACACAAGTTCCAATGCGCCATCTACCATGGTTCGGACGCTACAGCAATTCTCCGAGGACCTATCTACCAGCTAAACTATAGGCTTAGGAAAGTCGAAGACACATGGAACTTAGGTTATCGACCACGATGAACCTCATGGCAATATTTATTTCTGAAAAGTTCCAAAACGTAGTGAAAATCTCTATTAGGCGAAATAGCTCATTTTTGCCTATTTTCACATAAACTTAGAAAATTCATAACTCAGTCAGTTTTGATTCAGACCACCTGAGAATACCAAGATATGTTCTTTTTTTATATGGTTTTCTACTTAAGAGCAGTAAAAAATATTGCTTTCATTCGAAAGGTTTCTAGAAAACCTTTTCAAAAACCAGCGTATTTTCTATTGGTTTTTAAATGTTTTCTTGAATTTCATGATATAGCATAGATAAAATAGAAGACATCCTGGTATTCTGACGTAGTACGGGTCGATTTTGACTCAGTTATAAATTTTTCAGCTTGGTCGATGTTCTATGTGTTTTTGATTTTCTTAAGTCTAAAGTTTAGCTAATAGGTAGGTACTCGGAGAATTGCTGGGGTACCTGCATCATGGTGGATGGGGATTTGGAACTTGTGTAGACTTAGAGAGCACAGTCTGGCGGTCTGAACTAATATCTCGGAATCCATTTTTTTTTATAAAACGAGAAGTTCCTAAATTTTGAGTGGGAAGGTACACCACGACAGAACGAAAAACTAAAAACTATTTTTCATAGGTCCACATCCTAATCTAGTTTCTGGAAACCGTATGTCTCTAGCTCTTTCCGTTCAAAAGCTATTATAAAAACATCTGCGACCATTCTATTTTAAAATAGATAGTAGTGCCCAGATCCAATACGACCGGTCGGATCCGATCCTCTATCGACGAACTCTGATTAGACCCGTCTGAATTGCGCCCGAACCTCGGAGTCCGGATACGATCGGATTTACTGAATTTTGACCACAAGAATTTAGTGGTATCGACAGGATCTGTTTGTCCGGAGCTTTCGCCGGGAAGACTGAAAGACATTTTAATTGACACATTCTCTCTTTTAGTTTATATCAACTCACTTTTTGTCTCCCAACTCATTTTTTTTAAGAGATCACTAATCGAGAATCAGTTCGGTCTAAAAAACTGAATCAGCTATGCTGTTTTACCAGTGCTGGATCAGGTATCATGAATATGTTCTTATTGATAGATGAGAATACTGATCAGCTCGTTTAGCTCTGAGTCTGGTGACAGAATTTGCTGAAAACGATAATTTTTGAAATTTTATAGCTGATGCTGCACAGTGAGCACCCAAGTGGACATTAGGCGAAAAAGTCGATTTGTTCTTTTTCCAAATATAAATAGTGTAAAATGTAGCCCTTTGAATTCTCTATCGAATGGTGTATGAATGTCTATTTTGATGTTCACTCCTAAGTGGAGAAAG